TCAAAATAAAAAGTAATAGTAATTAAATGGTAATAATTATTGCTAAAACTCACATAGAGTTACCGGTAATACTATGTGAAATTTAATTCAAACGTATTTTATTCATTCAAATAGCAAATCATTTATAAAATTAAAACAATAAATTTAAGAAATATTCATATCAGAGAAATTATCGGCGAAATCAATCACTTCTTGCGATTCTTCGGTATCAATCATATTATCACTCATGTCTTCATTTGAAGACAAACTAACACTTTGAGACATTTAGTGACTGTTATTGACACAAATTGAATGACAGGAAATAGATATAATTTAACGTTTTTTAATCGTTAACTACTTTTGTACAGTATATCGTATTTGACTCATACAGTCGTTTTCATAATACAAAACGCGTGTTATTTAATGTTTACGATTAAACTAGGTTCAATTTTAAAAATGTAATTCGGTACGATTGTGGGCATTTATGGGAAGCAAAAGTTGGCTATTTTATTTTTTTGATTAACTTCTTAATTTTGGTTGAATGATGAATAATTGTTGCTCAAAAACTACTGTGTCGATTTTATATCTACTGTATCTGCGTTCTATATCTTAAAGTGTACATAATGTAAAATGAGTCGACACGTGTATCAGGATTTTTTAAATATAATTGATGTAATATCAACAACAGAGTACCCAAAATTTCATATTTTGCATATTTGCTATTGTAATAAACATTGTCAATTTTAGCAATTAGTATACTAAAATGTTAAGAATCTTGTCTAGAAAAATAGTGAATTTCAGATTTGCATTATTTTATTGTTAAGGATACTTTTTCCTAAAAATTAGAACGTATAGATTGATTGTGTACTTTTTGCAAAACAATTATTCATCATTTAACAAAAATTAAGAAGTTAATCAAAAAATTTAAAATAGCTAACTTTTGCTTCCCATAAATGCCCACAATCGTACCAAATTAGATTTTTTAAATTGAACCTAGTTTACTCGTTAACTTTAAATAACATGCGTTTTGTATTGTAAAAACGACTGTATGCAAAAAGTACACTAGTATGAGTTTTTAGTGAAATGCAATAATGCTCTTAAATATAGGGGTAATGCTACCTGGATAGATTACCCCCCTTTACTGGATTTCACAAAATATTACCGGGTGTTTATATGAGAGTATATACGGTAGTAGTTGTAATTCAGAAATCAATTTTAAACAACAATTTTTAGAGTCGATTATTTTTAATACATTAATACAAACGAAATGTGCGAACGATTTAACGTATAATTTACAAAACATTGTCATTAATAGCGACAGAAAAACTTATCTAAATCTCAGGTATGAAATCAAATCTCAAATCAAATATCAATTGGAAAAAGTGTTTCAATTTTTTGGCAAAAAAAAAACAAAATCAATAATTTTTAACTGATTTCAAAACATATCAACGATTTATAAGAAAAATAGTATTAATTTAATAGCAATTGTTGTGACAATTATAGCAATTATAGTGTTTTAAAACATTTTCGATTTGAACTGACATTTCAGCAGATATTTGACGTTCACTTGATTTATATCGTAGACAATGAACTCGTTGTACAAAAGCGAACACTTCTGGTCACTCTTGACGGCTGTGCCGAACGGCACTCGAGTCCCGTTAGGCATCACGTGATACGTCTTGGGGTCGGGCTGTGTCTGTCCCACACCTTTCACGCTATGCTTCCCTTTGGGCAGTGATGTCACGTCTTTGGCGTCCATTAGATCCCAACTGAAACGATAAATCAATTTTAAGTGACATCTAAACACAACCAATGAATCGGCTCAAGACATACGTCTCTCCGATGGCCACTTCGCTGAGCAACAAATAGCCGACATTCTTATTGGACTGATAGTGACAATAGCCGGCACTCTTTGTGACCATATCTGCGAAATAGATACCTTTGCCGAACATATAGCCCGTGACCGGGGCTTCCGGGGGCGCAATGCGGAGGCCCTGCGATAGAATGCCCGCAAAGTTGGTCACACGGGAGCCGTGCCATAGAAGAAGCCGATTATCCGAGTCCTTGTGCTTCTGGAACCGCTCCGACTCGCCCTCGCGCTCGACCTTAAACGCGTCCACAATGTCCAGCGAGAAGTGATGGGTCGAGCCGTGAGTATTCTTCAAGTACTTCTCAATTATCTCGAACTCTTCCTCCTCTTTGCTCAACGGCTCGATCGTTGTCTTCAGTTTCCTGTAGTGCTGATCGATCGGATCCAAGTCTTCGGCGTCGGGTTTGTTCTCCGAAGTGATCATATCGTAGGCCATCTCAATGTCGAGCAACGCGTCCAACATATCCATCTTAGTCTTGATGGCGGCCTCCGTGTCGATCAGCGGCGGCCGTTCGGTACCAAAGTTGTGAGGAATCAGTGTATAAAACTCATTGGTGGCCGACTTCAGTTGGGATGTGTTGGGCGGCGTTTTCACCACCAATTTGGACAACTTCTTCAGCACAGAGCACGCGCTCAGCAGTTGCTTCTTCGACAGCTTACCCAACGGCATCTTCTCCATGTCCAGCTCGAACTCCAACATCTGTTCCTTCATCTTCTGCACATCAAATATGGAGCAAATGAAGTCCTGGACAGAGAGCGCCAACTTTGACCGCTTCCCGACCTCCAGTTTGGCCATCGAGTCGGTCTGATCGCCGCCGAAGTCAATGTCCACCGGGAAGTACTTGTCGGGCACTTTCTGGAAGTGGTGTCGCGCCGACCACTCGTTCCCAGTCTTGTCGACGTAGTGTTCGGTGAAGTAGTCGATGGCGTCGCTCACTGTCGAGAACTTCTCGAGTGTAGTGCCGCCGATGGTTGTGCCCACCCGTCCCCACGCTTTGAACACGAAATACTTGGTCTTTTTGGTGTCGTGTTCAAGAAGTTGCAGTTTATAGAAGGAGTTCCTGTTCTTTGACAGATCCACAGCGCTTAAGACAACGCTGTATACGTCTGATCCCTGTTTATAGATGTGTGTGACGTCCGCCACTTCGCACTCCGGGTCCACAACATTGCCCTCTTTGAGAACCATCTTCTGTTTGCCGCCACTCTTCTCGAAACGGCCTAAGAGTTTTTGGGATCAATTGGTGACAATTAGTAAACAAGTGTTGGTTATAGCGGTATAGATAATGGCTGTGAATTATGGTATGTATTCCTCGTATCTGTACTCAACTCTAGGGCTCGTGAGTTGAGCTCATCATAAGGAGGACACGCCGTTATCAATCATCTGGTCATCGATGGCCACGAATCCGTGACAATCGTTGCCAGCGATCGGAACGGGTGTGTCGTGTAATGTACGGGAGTTTAGTGATCACCAAATTGTACTAACAATATGGCGAGGCATCGGCTCCCGAGGGATCAGTTCAAGTGATAAACCATTAAATAAATAACAATATTATTTCATTACCAGAACCGGCGCCCGATTTGAACGCAGTCTTCATCTTCTCCTTGACGTTCAGATTCGCGAACCTCTTCTCGACGTCGACCTCGAAGTCGTCCAAACGATTCAAACTAATCGCTTGAATGGGATTCGAGTCCTTCTCCACCGCCACCAGGAATTCCTCCGACACTATGGGAACCGATAGGTCTTTGGCGTCAGTTATTTGTTCGCTCTCTTTGTCGACCGCGGCTTTCGTTGAGATAATACAGAGAGTGGTTCTGTCGATGCGGTCAACGAGAGTGGCGCCCAATGTCTTCAGTCGTGGCTTGAGTTTGGCTTTCGATGTCTTCACTTTTCCGACTAAACCTATATTATAGCCGCTGAGCGCCAGAACGGGTCCACTACTGCCGCCGCCATTGGTGTCCTCCTTCTTGGCGAACACGCCATCAGTGATGCCCGAAGTGGAGGGCTTTGGGTTCTCAATGGCGTGCTTAAGAACCGCGTTATAGATCCGATCGCGCGGTTCGTACTTGTATTTGGCGAGAAAGGCGTACTCTTCGGCCAACTCTTTGGGCACTTTAAAGGGCTTCCTCTTCGGCTTATCGGTGGTCTCGTATTCGCATTTCGCCCATTGGCTCACATTTCCCGTACAGATATAGCCACTGATCCGGAAGACGAGTTGTCCTTTCTTACACTCGGGACACTTCGCCAGCGCCCCGAATGCCATGGCGTCGGACACCCGCTCGTACTTCGAGGGCATACCTTCTGGTATCTCAATCTTATTGGCTTCCATGAGGTCAATGAGATCCTGTTTTTTCATTGTCTTCACATTTTCCTGGTATTTGAAGAGCAGATCCGACTGTTTCTTCAGCTTCTTCTCGTCGGCGTTACTGATCTTTGGCTTCTTAGCGGGCGATCCGTTCGCGCTATCAATGGCGTCAGCGGCCGCTGCCAGCGGCGGATCGATGGCCGGTATCTTCTTCTTAATCTCTTTGCGGTCCTCTTCGGCCAATTTGTCAAAGAATGGCAGTTTGTCTCCGGAGGCGAAGTACTTAAGACTCTCGCGAGCGCTGGCGAAGCACTCGACGTGAAACCAGCGGTCGAGCGGTCCGTACCGCTTGGCGTCGGCCGACTCCCTGTCCAATCGACTGATCCGTACGGTGTCTTTGACGCACGTATTCTCACACAATCGACACTTCGAGCGATTGCTCTTCGCGTACTCCACTTTGAATTCGGCCAATTGGGTCCCATTGGTCAGCGCCGGAGCTGATCCGCCATCGGTGTCGGCCTTCTTCTTGCGCGACTTCTTGCCATTGGCTTTACCCGTGTCTGCGATCACTCCGGAGGCGTCGTCGCAGGCCTTCTGGATCCGCTTCTGGTCGTCGTACTTGAGTGACGCGAAGTGAGCGATCTCTTCGGGTCGCGGCCGCCATCTTTGGAAGAAGCACTGGAAGTGATGCCAATTGGGTTGCATACCGTCGAAGAAGGGCGACTGAACCATCACTGCCAGCCGTACCGAGTCTTTAGCGATCGGATCCTTACATGACTTGCATGAGGCGCGACCCGACTTCGCGTACTCCACACGATATGGCAACTCTTCCCGCAAACTCATGGCCACTGTGTCTCACTCTCGAGCTGTTGGTGTTGTCTTGGGATGTGTTGTGGTGATGATCACTGCAGACAATGTGTTGTCAAAACCACTTTATGTGTTGTGTTTTGTAATGCCTTTCACTAAACGTAACACATTTTTGTGACACTGGAAACCGCTTTCACTGCTGATTGGCTGTTGTCTACGTTAACTGCTCTCTGATTGGCTGATGTGTGACAGTAAGTGTTGCGCTACTTTTAAATGGCTCTGTATTTGTTTGATATGCTATGCGTTGAATGCAGTGTTTGGGCTGTGATTGCAGTGTTTGTATGCAATGCCTGTGTATTGTAATGATTGCCATTTGATCATGAAAGTTTTATCATTAATATACAGGTAAATCACAGGGAAAATAGTGTTTAAATGGCATTTATTTGTACATCTCCTTTACTATTAGAAGCGGCGATATAGAGGTAGAATGACATTTGAGTCATCAATGAAATGCAAACATGCAAATACTGCAGACTGACACCATATTAGTGTTTTTTAAGTTTGACAAAAAAATTA